GTCATAATACAAAAATAGCTTTTATTATTTTTATTATATAATGGATCATGCCGAAATCACTAACTTAACCGAATCGGTAAAACAATCATTCAGGTAATTTTTAACAGGTGTTTCAGGAATTATGATAATAGCTGTAAAAAAAAAAAAAAATTTGAAAAAATTGAAAAAAATGGATCGGCGGGTAATGCAAAACTAAAAATCAACTTTGCGTGGCCTAATATTTAGAATATAATTTTAAATGAATGGTTTATACTTTCTATTATATGCTATATAAAAATTAAAAATTTGTATGTAGATTAATAATATTTGTATTTGTATAGTAAATTACAATAATTAAATGAATTTCTAATAACTTTTCTATAAATAAACATCTACTATGGGTGAATGTTATCTAAAACATTGTAATTCTTTTTAAAAATACCATTCTCTTAAATAAAACGGATTCGGTAAATTGTATAGATTCAACACTTAATAGTTATTTGACAAATCACTTTTTTAATTCAAGCGATTACCCAATTAGATACAGGATCAGGTGTAACGTGAATATTAAAGACATTGCTAGTAAGATGTAAACCCCATAAAAAGTCACGTATCTGAGTTTAAATTTCCCCAAACAGAAATTTCATTTTCAAAATTACAAGAAATTAGAATTAGTTCAGACATACATATTAATTCTTTCGATTAATATGAATATTTGCATGCAATTTAATGATAATAAATTTATTACATTAATTGCAATGACAAAAAAAAACTACATATTATTTCCAATAAAATGTATATTTGTTTCTCCCCGTCCACTCTCAATTATTAACCATTTGTTCGATCGATTTAAATTTAATTTAATATTTGGCAATTTTTTCTGCTGAGGAAGTCAGACGGCTTGAAATAAAGCATTTACCCATATAAAATCTTAATATATTTTTGTATAGCTTAAAATTATTAAATCAAATGGTATTTATATGACCCAGAACATTTTAATAAGATTATTTGCAATAGAACATTTGAATAAAAAAATTTTTTTTTTTTGAAAATCTAAAAGTCCCGTAAAATCAACACAAAACTTAAGGAATAGAATACAACACCCTTTAAGTTTCATTAATTTCTGGTATTGATAGTAAAGAATCATAGATAATATGTATTAAATCACCTGAAAATATAATAAAGTTTTATTTTGTATTAAAAATTTTCATTCATTTCTTATTCACATCACTTATTTCAACAACCTTTCTCCTTAGGAAAATCTTCAAATTTTCTAAACGATCGTTAACTTGTGCAATGCTAGAGTGATTCATTTGACATAGTATGATTAATAAATAGCGTTAGAACGGATGTATTTTAATTAAAATTGACAATTGAAAACATAATAATAGTTGTCAAATTGTTACGATATATAGTGAAAACATCATTTTAAATTTAAGCTCAGATACGTAACTTTTTTTTAGGGGGATACTAGGTTCGTAGTAAGATGGAACCTGAGTAGAAATTGTCTTTAAATAATTACGGATAACTTACGACGGTTTGCAAGCAAATTGTTTTTAAGACAGTTGAAGTGATATTATTTGACTGAGTAGAATTTAGATTGTTATTTTTTTTGCAATGTGGATGGATTGTTTACGATTGAAAATAACTATTTTCAAATAAGAACTAAATCGTTAGCATTGTAGCACTCATTCGTTGGTTCTAAGGAAATCCATATTATTTTTTGAAAGAGTTAAGAAAAGTTATTATTCATTGCACAGAGGTTTTATTGGTAGAAGTTTACAGAAGCTACAGTATTTATAGCTTTAGATATATCAACCAGACTAAGATTTTCAATGGAAACAATTTGATGATAAACTTATGATAAAATAAATGAATAACATTTGGAGAATATGCTTATATATTTGGGACAAAATGTAAATGTATTGTTCCTTGGATTCCGGATTATAGTACAATATTGAATTACCTAAGACAAAGCATGGATATAAGAGGCTGATGTTTATGATATTTGAAATAAATTAATTAATGTAATTTAAGCAGATAAAACTGATGAAATTAAAAAAGCAACTTCGGATGCAGATAAAATAGTCAAACCTTTGTTAATTGTCTTACAAAGCATATGATAAATGTAAGAAAAACTCCACAGTGCCTAACAATGACAATACTGCAATAATACAAAATAATATATTTATCAATATTTAAATAAATTAAAGTTTAGTGCCCTTCAAAATCAAGCCAAAGTTTGAATTTCAATTTAAATATTTGATAAAGTCAAATATTGAATCGAAATTCAAGCTTTGGCTTGATTTTGAGAAGCATTAGGTAAAATTAAGTAACGTTAAATAAGAATGACTTGATAGCAAATTTAATTATAAAGAGGTTCTTTTTTAGCTGATGACCAAACATTTTGTACTTAACTGTGCTTTTCTAGATTTTTTCAAAATCAAAATCTGGTATCTATATCTGTTTTATAAATTGTAATACCACAGATTTAGCACGTCACTATTCAATTAGTCTGTTCCAATTCAATAACTAGTATTGTGATTAATAAGAGACCACTGATTTGATTTATTATTATTTAAATAGTTCGCTCCAAATTTAACGATTGGTATTGTGATTTTTATAATTTAATAAATTGATATACAATTATTAAAATTTTAATCCTTTATAAAAAAAATTGATGATTTATTTTGAAAAGTAATTATCAATAAAAAATTGTAAACGTATTAAAATATTACATATTTTTGAAATTTCTAAAATTTCAGATATCAGATATAAATATACAGACACTTAATATTTATTGTTTTCAAATCGAAAAATTTACCATAAAGTTCTACAAACTTTTCAAAGTCAAATTAAGTATGGAACTAATCCAAATAATCCCGATAATATGTGCTACGTATTCACTTAAATAAGAAGAGATTTAAGAGATGATTGTAGTAGAAAAGAATATAAGTTTTTGTAAATATGCATTTAACTCAACTCTTAAAGCCTTAACAATGAATTATTAGTAATTTACTGTTTTTTGGCTTAATTTATCAAAATATAAACCTTCCAGAATTGAACCTAACATAGAAATTAAAGTGATTGTAATAAAAGTTTGGCATAAGCTTAAACCTGTAATTTTAGTTTTTTAAATGTAATTTGTTTTTTTAAAATGTAATTTGTTCTCAGATAGTAAAGAGCAATGGTTTATTTTCGTTCCTTGATAATTAAAGAGACTAATTCTAACTAAGGTTTGGAATTTAGAAACAATCTTTATGACTTTCGGTGAAATTTTGGAAAAATCTATATAATGTAATTTACTGTAAGGAACCCCAAACATATTCTAACGCTGGGAAAATTTATTTCATCAGGGAATTTAATTTGTAATTACGCTACCAAAAAAACATTTTCCAGTTCTAAAGCATTTCTTGCTAAATGATTTATTATTAAAATACGTGTATTAAAAAGATCTATAAAATAAAATAAAAAAATTTTTATATGTTTCCATCATTATTTAAATCTAATTTGCTCAAACTTGATTATATATAAAAATGGTTTTTTAATATAAGATACCCAATGACTTTACTACTATTTGCAAGATTCTTGTACACAAAAGTAATAGCTTAACTAAAAAAATACTTACATTTTTATTGTAGCTACAAAGCCTAAACTAAAAATAATTTTATATTGATACTATAATTACAAAGTCTATCAATAAATAGTACTTGCGCTATAACTGCATATTAATTTCAATAATTATTATATTGTTGAATCAAACTAAATCTGAATTAGAAATATTACTTAAACTTAATATGATTTATTTAAACCAGACAGCAAGTGCAATTTCTAAATTTTAAATATAAGCCTTTCTAATTTTTTAATTTTTTGTATAATTCTTCCTCTTCAAAACTATCTAATAAATTTAAAATATATATTAAAATATAAGCATAGTAATAAAAAAATTAAATAAATTTAACCAACCATTAATATCTAATATTTTTCTTTTATGGGAAAGTGCATGATTATTATTATCTATAAATTCAGAATTTAAAGAAATTACTTGTTAAAAGCTTATAATTTTAAATAATCGGCAAGATCGAAAGATGGCAAACCAGGCACAGATCAGGTACTTGATTTGTGCCTGGTTTGCCATATTTCGACCTGTGCTATATATTAAGGTATAAGTATAGTAATAAAAAAATTAAACCAACCATTAATATCTAATATTATTCTTTTATGAGAAAGTGCATGATTATTATCTATAAATTCAGAATTTGAAAGAAATTACATGTTAAAAACCTTATAATTTTAAATACATAACCTGAATATTAAGTTATAAGCATAGTAATAAAAAAATTGTATATAATTTAACCAACCATTAATATCTAATATTATTCTTTTACGAGAAAGTGTATTTTTATCATTATCTATAAATTCGGAATTTAAAAAAAGCTAATTGTTAAAAATCCCTATGGTTTTTAAACAACATATATATAGAAATATACCATCATTATTACTTAAAATGTTTAAAAGACTAAGATGGCAAAGTGTTGAATCTACTGCAATTACAAATTAAGTTTCAATGTCTATTTTAAATAAAAATAAAAAATTATATTTTTGAAAATTCACCTGCTTTATTGATTTCAATCGATTTACTATAAGCTTGCATAATTTCTACTGTGTTTATAAGTTTGTTAGTATACATAGAATCCGGATGTTTTTTTAAAGTAGTTGAAAATGATTTTATCTCTTGTGTATTATGAGTTTATTAGTAAATTTAGAATCTAAATATCTCGGCAACGTAATAACTTTGTTAGCGTTTAAAAAATCATCTCTTATTTCAAGTTTTTTTTTGTCATTTGCCGAGTATTCTTGAACACTTAAAATTTACTGCCACTCATAAATCCTCAAATTAATGTCTTCAGCAGTAGGTCAATTCTGTGGATTCGAATCCATACAAAGTTTAGCTAATTCAACATAGCAATTAGGAGTTCCGGGTGCAAATCCTGGTCGTAGTCCATGACAAATATTTATTGCAAGATCAGTACAAAATTGATATCCATCATAAGGTCTTTCTCCAGTTGACACTTCTGCCATAATAACGCCAAACCCATAAATATCGGCTTTTGGTGTGTATTTACCATCTAGCAACACTTCTGGGGCAATATAAGGCATAACTCCAAAGATATTTCCTTTTGAAAGCTGGTCATCATTCTTTCTAGATAAACATAAATCAGCAATATAACATTTCATATAGTCAATCAAAATATTTCTACTGTGAAAATCACCATGGATATAACCGGCCTCGTGAATTTTAGCTAAATCATTTGATATATCCCAAAGTAGCCATAATTTATCTTGCCATTTGATTTTTAAAAATTCTTGGAGATTTCCTTTATTTGCATATTGTAACACCATCATATATTCTTCAGTTTCAGTATTTTGAGTTAATCCGTATATTTCAAGAGAGCAGCCTTTTAACCTACAGTGCATGTGATTTTTAAACTTAAAAATAGATTTTAACCATTTATAAATTAATTTATAAAGTAAATATTACAAAATAAATAATATTAACTTACTTCTTGTAAAAAGCTTGAAGAATTCGTCTGGAAACCTGTTAAAGTCTTGAGTGCAACTTTACTATATTGTTCACGCAGTGGCAATTTATTTTCAACAACTCGGATACCATCAAACCAGGTTGCTGAATATACTTTACTAAATGCACCCTCACCTATCTTTATTAGATTAGCTAACCTGTCAAATGGAATCCATTCAATCACCTCATTATATTTAGTAGATTTAAGCTGAAATTCTTTAATACAATAATCAATATCCAAATTTCCACTTGTCCATCCTTGACTTGTAATATAAGGATCACATAAATGACACCAAGCCGGTGAAATATTATATCGAGTGCAATTTAAGCAATTACCAAAATCAACCTTTCTTAGAGAAGAGAACTGATTTATTCCATCAGCATGTCCCATAATTGCAGATTTTTTATAATATTTGAAAGCCTCATGCTCATTCTTTTCAGTTCCAACTCCGTTCTTGTAACAACGTCCAGCATTATATATTCCATCTATATGTCCTATATCTGCTGATTTTTGATAATACTCGAATGCCTTCTTTATATCTTTTTCAACTCCTATTCCATTTTCATAACAACGTCCGAGATTATATGTTCCAATTGCATTTCCGTTACGGTCATATTTTTGATAATAAATGAATACTTCATGTTTTCCATCAGCATGCCCCATATCTGCAGATTTTTTATAAAATTTGAATGCCTCATGTTCATTCTTTTCGGTTCCAATTCCGCTCTGGTAACAACGTCCAACATTATATATTCCATCTATATGTCCAATATCTGCAGATTTTTGATAATATTGAAACGCCTCCTCTATATCATTTTCAACTCCTATTCCATTTTCATAACAACGCCCAACATTATATATTCCATCTATATGACTGATATCTGCAGATTCTTGATAGTATTTAAATGCCTCCTCTGTATCCTTTTCAACTCCTAATCCATTTTCATAACAACGTCCAAGATTATATGTTCCATCAGCTTGCTCCATGTCTGTTGATTTTTGATAATATTTGAATGCCTTCCTTATATCTTTTTCAATTCCTATTCCATTTTCATAACA